TGAATTCAGTGGTAAGGAGACTCATCATCCACATTACACTAACAGAAATAGATTCTGCAGCAGATTGAATTAATTAGATTTAATTGCATTATACTGCTGTAGGTGTAGTACATTCCAGTTTCACAGAGAATTGTAATAAGTATGCAGTATACTTAAATGAGCAATAGGCACACCCAGATAAGTTACATCTTATCAAACATTTTCTCCTTGATTACTTGTCCCTGCTAGTCACATCATCTCAAAAGTGAATTTCCAAGTTCCTTGTGTCTTAGATTAGCTCTTAGATTATATCTCTTTAGTATTTTTTCTTCAATGTCTTTGTGCAAGTAAAATACTCAGAATCATTTGCTAATAAAAATGGTGTTTCTCAGAGATAATCTAATTTCATTTCAATATTCTTCTCAAGTTATATTACCATATTATCATACTTTTTTTTTGATTATGTAGCTCTTAAAATGTTATTTTTTCATTTTGATACATATTGATTTTCATTATGGCTTATACCTAAAGGATAGTATCAAGATGCAAGGATTAAGAGAAGATCAACATTGTTTAATTTTTACATGATATATGCACCAGCTCTTGACAGTTTCTTGGATTCACAGAAAGAGTTTGAAATTTTTTAAACAATGGTGGGGGGGAACCCCTAGGCTGCTTGGCTCCATCAGAATGTTTTGGTAAAATATTACTGGAAGAATCTAGCTAGGTTAGGTCATTAGAATTATTTGCATCTTTCCACTCTTCTTCTTACCAATTTAAATTGTTGAAATTTTATGTGATACCTTCTATTAATTGGTATCCAAAGCCATCTAGGCTTGCAACACCTTCCCACAAAATAGTTGCATCAGTGGGTGTCATTTGAAACTTCTTCAAAATGATACCTGGCCTAAGTAATGAGCCATTGTATGCGTACGAGCTTATTATAATAACTCATGGGTTATAGCATTGTGTCTTTCCACCCCATAATTAAATACCCCAGCGTGGAGATTATAAAGTTCATGT